TGAGAAAGAATTATGAGACTATGGCAATATAGAAACACTCAAATGTCAAGAGATTGACAGAGCCAGGAGACTTAGAAAGGAGCCAGAGCACAGTTTCCTAAATGGTCAGGTCTTTACAGAGAGCAACAGTGAAGCTGTGCTGGAACCAATTCCAGGTCCTAAACTCTGTTGTCTGCATTCCTCACTCTAAGGAGTTAATTCAATGCAACCTTTTATTGCAGAGATGCTGTGTTGCTACATCATTGTTTAAAACGGGTGCCTCAACTTGAATCACATCACTATTTCAGGTTTGCCAATGAAATGGAGGAGTAATCCCCAAGCTGTAACTCCAGAGAAAGTAAATGAAGCATGCTGCTGGCTGAAACCTCTCTTTAAGTCAGAGGAAATGGAGCAGTGCAGTACCTTCTTTGAAGGTAGCCTGAAAGCACTCTGCACAATATGAAAATTTATTTCTATTCAACTTTTTGTTGTTAAACTTATTCCAGCAGGTCACAAAAAAACACCAGGATCAGAAATTCACTCACCTTTCTTTTCAGTCATTGTCTGACTCGGAAGTCAAGGTAGTGGATAGAAGAGAGGAAGAAAATCAATTTCTAACAGTGCCTAAGGTACTTGGTTTCCAAAAGCGTTCCTGCCAAGCCATTCAGACTTTTCATGTAGAAGTGTTTGGGTCTCCAAGAGTCAGATGAGCTGTATATAGAAGAGGACTGATTGTGTTCCTCTGTGTGGCTATACCATTTATCATAACAAGCTCTACAGGAACAGTGGGACTAATACTGCCTCAAATCCAGATGAAGATCTTGGTGGACCTGGTTCAGTTTTGCATCAGCCAAACTGACCAAGCGTTTCTGCACCAGCCAGAGTACTCTGGGTGAGGTCCAAATACAACACATGCATATTTAAAGATTGTTCTTCAGAATGCTGCTGAATCAGTTGGTTGTACCTTAAAAATCACAGGCCTACCACGAGACAGGGCAAACCGGGACCATCTTGTCCAAACTCTGGGTCCTGCTGTCACCAAGCCTAGGACACCTACACTGCATCACCTCGGCAGAGAGGAAGACTAAGATGAATCTAAGGCAGGGTGATAAGGGGTTTCAAACAGGAGTAAATGCATTGACACGCTGCATCTTACATGGATTTCTTGGCAAATAGATGCTGACAGCCTGGGCCCACACTTACTTCTCCTGCAGAAATGTGTAACACCTGCTGCAATGGTGAAGACATTTCTGGTGGCTATGTGTCAAGACTCATGAATATGCATTCTGTTGTATCTGCACAGGATCCAGAGTGCAGCTTGGTGAGGCATCTTCCCTGTGGGCTTGGGCTAGGTCATAGCTAAGTGTAACAAACCGGCAGAAGCTCTGGGCCTTATGTGTTGGAAATATAGTCAGGATGCTTCTGCTGCACCTCCGCAGATTGGGGGGGGAGGGAGGATCGGAATTTGCATGCTGTGTGAGACACCAGCATGTTGTGCACAGGGAGAGGAGGGTAAAGTTGCACTGTTCAAAACTTCTGTCAGGGAAACATGGGAAAGAGGGGAGGACTCTTGCATTAGGGGAGTTAGACTGCTGATGTTAAAAGATGGTGTGTGTATGACTCTTTGAGTCACCTTGGGCTTGACTTTTTGAGCTAAGCTGCTCATTGCATTGCAAACTCTGCTGCCCCTGGGACTGCGTTGGCAGCTGGAGAATGTTGTAGCAACTTAGCCTGGAAAACATGGAAGGAGGTGAGTCACCATAACCAACTTAGCATCAGATAGGATAAATTTCCTCAGTTATTCATGGTCAGAAGGAAATACCACTTGCAGCTGCTACACCTGGTAGTCAAGTGCCAGTAAAGATTCTGGAGGAAGCTTAAGGATGACCTGCAGTATCAGTCTGATTATAGAGGTTTAGAAAGCAGCTGCATGAATATTTAAACTGATGGATTAACACAGTTTCTATGTATGTTTCAGGAACTGACCAGGAACTGAATCAAGGCCTAGAGCTTGCAAGTGCTACTGGGAAAACAAGGATTTCCATCCCATTTTACCCCAGGTAATAAGACACAGCTGAGAAGTGTTTTGCAAAGCACTTGTTGCTGCCTTCCCAGGAAAATATGAAACCTAATCTACTGCTGTCAATTTGGGTGTACAGGACAGATATAAAGACAGAATACAAAGTAACCACATGACTTCCCATTTGCCGTTCATTCTCCAAGACCCAGTGTTAGTTTGTACCTAGCAAAATAGGGAGAGTAACTTTCAGGAGTGTTACAGGAAGAAGTACTTCGACAGTTGTGATTTAGCACCATGCAGTTATCCTATTTGTTACTATCATAGCTAGGAAAGTGCTATAGGAATTCCCATGGCCACCAAAGAAAAGCATATCAGGTGAGAAATTCTAGCTTGTTTTATACATTCTTCTTCAGTAAGGATATTTAGTTACTTAAACATTCCAGTCTTCTGTGCTGGTGCAGCAGTTTCACAGTTCCCTTATGGGACCCACCTTTCTGCTTTAAATTACTCGCTGCGGGGAAGAGTGCTACATCACTCATGGGAAATGCCATCTGTGGCACCTGGTGAGCCACGGGTTGCATAGAAGAAAAGCAAATGGATGGGGTGGCTGTTGTTACTGGCCAGATAAAGACAATGGTCACAGGGCCTCTCTCTACCATCAGTTCAACCATGGTCCCAACTCCAACAAAATTCAGCTGTGCAGTGTGGATGTGGTCTCTGAATTTCCTGTGGCTTTACCTGTGAATACAAAATGCCACATCCATTGGAGAGAACAGAGGCGCAATTGCCTTATGTTTTTCTTCATGGTGTTATTGACTTAATGCAATCTTTCACATTCCACCAGTGAGCTGAGGAACAGACTTTGTAAGCACAAAGGGATCTCACTAAACTCAGGTTTCACATTAAGCAGTAAGGGGAACATTCTGCTTCTTTTAGTGTTCATTGTGCTCCACTTTTTCATTCCCAGAAGTGAAGCTGATTTCTATAACAGTGCTGGAAACCACTTCTTTTCAGCAAATAGTTATCATCTTCCTCTCTGATCCACGTTTTTAGGATGTGGCTTCAGTGAAATCTCTAAAAGAAAAGTTTTCTCCAATGGAGAAACATAACCTTTGGCAGCAATTTTCTATAAGCTACTAATAGAGACTGCTGCTGACTGTTCACTTTGACTAGTAAGTGAAGTAATATGCAAATTGTTTCTGTCATTAGAAGAATTAGTTTCAAAATCTGATAGAAAAAAACCTCCTTTAATCCACTATCAATCTGGAGCCACAACTCCCTGTTACACATCTACATACTGACTGCCACAGCAGGCGCATGACTTGGGTGTGCTTTTGTATAACCAATAGAAGTGAATGAATACTACCTTCCCAAACAGGTCCATGCATACACAGTAAGCATGAAGCTTATGGTTCTTTTATAGTGGTTAGACCTACAAGGACCACTTACGCCACTGCAACCTTATTCTTAACATCCCACAGGTCCAGAGACACATTTTGCATAAGCTGAAGCCAATTTCCCATTGTAACTTGGAGGAACTGTCCTGCAGACCTAGTCTGAGTCCTACTCAAGGGCTTACATTTCTCTGCCTATCCTTTTACTCCTGTTATCTGCCCACACCACCACATGTTTATCCAGCTGAGGTTAACCTCAGAAAGTAAAGTGTGCAAACAATGCTAATGACAATTTTGAGAAGCAGTAAGGTTGTGCAAATATGGTCATTTCTGATGGGACAAAAAGCTGTTTGTATCCTCTTTCTGCAACTTCCAGTTTTAAAACTTATCTGCCAAGTAAATTCAATTGTCTTTTTCAAATCTAGAAAATGTAATTAAGTATGGAAAGCTTGTAGTGTAAGTGATTTAGGCTATATTCTGAAATAGGACTAAGAAATTCAGCTGGAATTGCTCTTTGGAAACATTGTCCAAGAGCACTCACTGTCTCACACAAAGACTGTCTGGCTTCTGCCTTCTCTGCTGATAGAAGTGTTTCCTGTATCTGCCCAGCAGAAGACTCCCTACTGTGGACCAGAGGACACTTCCCAACACTTAAAAATCCCAACTGGAAACATACTATATCATATTTGTAATTCAGGCAGGGCTTCCATTAGCATGGCCAACAACAGGGATTTCTTGAGTGCTCTGTTGACATCAGGCAGGGTGTGGTGCAAGGTTATTAAACTGCCTCTGCCACTTAGTTTTCATCTGACACATGCTTAATTGTGAGGATGTCCTTCCTCTTATTAGTGTTTGAATCAATCCCACTGTTGATGAGAGATGTTGTCCAAATCATGTTATAGAGTAAAAAGTATTTAAAGCCACAGACATAATATTATGGTAGACACAAGTTCAGATGACATGTTGACGTGTTGTCTCCTCACATTTCCCATCATTAGCACTGTCTTATTGCTGGTGGGCAGAGATGCAGTAGCTGACATGACTAAGGGAGTGGCCTGGACACCACTGTGGAGAAAGGAGGGCTGCAGCATAGCTATAAGTGAGAGAGGGACTTTATTCAATGTTCTCTGTCATCTCCTGCTATTTCTATTAATTAAATGAAAGGAGATTGGTGATGAAGATAGAATGGGAATGTGAAAAAGAAGGAAATGTGTGAAACGAGTGGCTTCTTGACCTTGTTGAATGGTTGAGGATGTTATACACTAGTAACTGTTGATAAAGGTGCAGTGTTCAGATGCCAAGGACTGAAATTAGAGTCTTGGGTTAAAAAAAATGTTGATGTTCTTGCATGAGGAACAAATTTCATAAGCTATGTGGCTTTGCTGTATCATGAATAGCTATAGTCCTTCCTTTCAGCTTTTAGTCCATCAGGGCACCAAACTGCAGTAATAGTTTCAAATCAGGGAAGCTCCTCCTAACCTCCGCTCCCCGAAGCCTACTTGTGAGTGCCAGCTCCAAGGAGCCAAGTAAATAAAGCACCTTGGGGAGTGAGAATGGAATAATTGAGTGTTGAAATAACCAGACTGGAAAACACATTGATGGCATTCACCTTTGCAAAACATCTACACTGCTTTCTGTAGGGAGCAGAGGCAGTTTTAAATGGCAGCTGGAGGCAATGACAAATCCTCTTCATTACTCCCCATGATGCAGACAGGGTCCTGAGAGAGGAAGGCCCTAGGTCATCCACAGTCCTGGTAAACAAGGCACATGGAAAATAAGATAAGCCATTCTTTCTAAAGCCAAACCATGTTCTGGTATGGGTTCCTGGAGAGCTCTGTACGTCCAGTTCTGGCAGAGTCCCTTTACATTAATTCCAAGAGGGAGTATAATTCTGCCTACAGCTTAGTAAGTGCTGTGTTCAGCTTTATCTAAGCTCTCTTGTAAAAGAAGCACGGTTAGAGGTTAGTGGGAAACAGTAAACAAAAATAAGCATGCAGCAGCTAGTGTAATTACATGTTTGGAGCAGAGAGGAGCAGGTGCTCGATCAATAAATCTGACCAATGCTGATGACTCTTATTTGGAGAGTAGCTGGCATGTGAGAGTGCATTTATGTTTGTAACTACAGTCAGGACAGCTAACAGGGTTAGGTACTCAATTGCAGCAACTTCTGTGTTTCTCATGTTTTGCTTTTTCTATTTTTTATTTTTACTTTAGTCCAGAATATTTTGGCAAAAATGGAAAGAGATAAACAGAGATTATATATGTATATGTAAGTGTAGGTGTATGTGATTCTGGCTGGTGTGAACCTCTGCTTGGCTTGACAGAAGAGTCTTTAACCAAGTTCTGCCATATCTCAGGTTAGCACTCCAGTCTCAACACTAAATTTTGATGGTTCATTTTTCCCAAGTATTTTTCACTAATCTAAAGCTGTGTTACACTAAAAGGGGGAAGACCTGTCCTCTCCACCTTTGCTTTGCAGTCTTTTGGGCTTACACTAGTACCTGGCATGTTCAGCCAGTTCAGCTTACTAATCCAGCAAGAACCTGTCACTTGGCTTTGAAGGCTTTGTCTGCAGCCCAATCAGCTTGCTTCTACAACTTAGAGAAGGAATAAGAAGTGACAGGAGAGGGAAGGGCCAGAATGTCTTTTTTCAGCAGTAATGCTGGTTCAAATCAGCTAAACTGCTTCATAAACTACACGCATAAATAGTTTCAAACTCTATAAAGGTTTGAGTTCAATATTTGTTTTAGCTAAAAGCATTTCCGTAAGCTCTGGTAAAACTCTGTCTAGGTGCCAGTGGCCCTTGGCAGGAACTAAAACAGTTCTCTACCTGCTCATAGGGAAACAGCAGCTATCCCAAACCCAGAAACACGGGCAGATGTGAGCTGGGAGAACCTGTACCCTGGGGAATGTTTAACCAGGAAGGCAAGCCCTGAGCACCAACTACCTCTGCTCTTCTGTGGAGGAAAGGGCAGCATGGCAAATGCACTTTGTGGTATTGACCTCTCCTGACTCGGGACCCTCTCTCTTCAGTACCAGGTTACTCCAGTTAGCAAATGGAGGAGTGACATCCATAGGTCTTTCCTTCTCTTCTCAAGCTCCCTGGGTACAGCTAATTCTGGTCCATCTGGTGATGATACACAGTTAGTACTGAAGCAAGGAAAAGGAAGTTTGCTGTGCTCCTCCCTGTGCCACAGGATTCCTGTGGCACTGCTGAAGTCACAGAATCCATCCTTGACCCAACCCTCTGGTGTGCAGGCAGATAATAGTCCTACCTTGCCTGTGAGGGCTGGGCTGCAGCTCAGCACAGGGAGTGTTTCTAAAACTGGTTCAAGTCTCTGTGCTGCAGGAGCTCTTATCCTTCAAGCGACCATTACTTTTGCTAAACTCCGGAGAGCCGTACAGGGTCTGATGTGTTCCTGCAGCACTGTGACAGATGTGGACCATGCCACCTCACCTCAACAGGACCTAGGCTTTACGTGCTGCAACAAAACAAGCACTGGGAGGAGAGAGGCTAGCTGGAAATAAGGAAGGAAAGGCACAGAACATGAAGAAGAAATATGGTATTACTCACCATTAAACATTTTTGAGCAAAACTCATCTGTGTGTCATCTGACCCCTTTCATCTCTTTCATTATACCCATTGGATATTTTTAGTCTATTGACGTTTGGTTTTGCTGCTTTCCTTTCAGTTTGAAAAGAAGGGGAAAAAAATCCCTGATTTTACAGATATGCAGCAGCTGCTGCAAATGTTGCTTCCTAAACCATCATAATAAGCAAATTTGATTTAAATTCAAAGTACCGTTACAAAGCAAGTCTCAGTTTTCCATTTCTTGCACACCAAATACCTATGACTGGGAAAGCATTAAAAAAACAAGCCAACAAATCATACTGTTTCTGTAAGTGAATCAGAAAGCATTTTCCCTAGTATTTTAACAAATCCTATGAATTTAAAGGATTCTCTGTGATCCTGCATTTGAAGAACAGTCTTCATGTAATCTGTTCACTCTGCATCCTCAAAGCAGCAGGATTGCCGTGCTGTGGCTGACACATGGCCCAGGTTGTTTGCAGGGGCCATGCTCCACGGCAAGCCTTCCCAAGAAGGCACGTTTGCATTGCATTAGAAAACAGAAAATCAGCTTTATTGTCTGAAATGGAAAGGAAAAGAAACAAAAATTCCTTCAAGTGGAAAATTAAAGACAGGTGTGAAGGGCAAAACATGAGTGAACAAATTTCCCAAAATAAACAGTTCTTCCAGGTTTTTGGATAGGCATTTGTGTATTTGAACAACTGTTTTATTCTTATTTCCCCTCTCCCCTTTAAGTGTTTGAAGGTGTTTTCTTTAAACTGTTCCAAACTAACTCTAGTAGTTAAGTACAGAGAAAAACCAAAAGAACATGTGTAGTGCTAAGCAGAGGAGTCATCCAACCAGTCTGTTTGAAGACTCTTCCCTGCCCTTTCAAGTATTTTATGCCCTTGTAGGAAAAAAACACTGAGTACCTTTGAGGACTGAACTGAGAAGTCTGAATGTTGAAGATTTTGTTGGAAGCAAAGATCTTCTCAGAGGAAATAATCTGTAGACACTCGCTTTCCTGATCTCGTTCTCTTCTGCTAATATGGCCAGTAAGCCAGGCATTTTCACTAGTTAGGTATTTAGTGATATTATTAGGGCAGGAGTGAGAGTGCAGTCCCATATTCTGAAGCCTAGTTTCTGTAAAGTAACAGGAACCTGACCTTTTGATTCCCCAAGAAGAGCTGTTTTTGCAGTGTTACCACATGTAGCTCCCACTGCTAGCCACTGGAATTTGATGAGTTTCTAAAGGCTGCCTTCCAACATCATCAACCGGGCATACAAAGCAGTGACCACCTCTGACCTCTTCCTGGCTGTAGCAGTTTGTTTATCAGTAGTGCTGAGAGAATAACATGCATGTCTGTCTGCAAGGACTCCTGTAAGGAGGCTGCTAGTAGCTGCCTGGAGCCTACAGAGACAGATGTTGTTGCCGACAATCTAGCAGATAAGAAAGTTCAGTCTTGTCATCAAGGAGGAGTGGAAGGCAGTGTAAGGGACTTTCTGAGGGCATCCTCAAAGAGCTCTAATGTGGTCAGATATATGCCAGCTGAGTTTCTTGTAATTGCAATGGTCACATAAAAAAGAAGAGGAACTGCAAGTGCATACAGAGAGAGAAACAACTGTGTGAACCCTTGTCTGCTGAGAGTCAGTTACAAGCAACAGGCACCTGGCAGTGGAAAGATGCTTCCAGACACCCCTTACACAAGTCCTACTTTAAGTTAATGCAGAACCAGAGCCAAGAGCAGCTTTAATGCTTGCTTTCTCATCATTAAATGTTAGAATAGAATTTGCTGCTGCTTCTATCCTAAAAGCCATCCACGCTAAAACTGCAGGTGCTGCACTTTGGAATGAATCATAGCGTAAATATTGCCACAGTCACTGCTCGTCACAAACAGGTTTATTTCAAAATGACCGTTGCAACATTCTTCCTTTGTTTGGCTGTTTTACAATTCTTCCTCGACTCCTGTCAGCACACTTGCTGTTTGGAGGTGAGAGAGATGGTCTTGTTTTGTCCCCTGTCACTCTTGGAGGTACAATCTGTAGAAGTCACCCATGAAAGGAGGTGAGGGCTCTTTCACACAGTTATTTTTTTTCTCAATATATCCAGATATCTATTACATCCAATTTCCTGCACAACCTGTATGTGATGCATTCTGGTAAAATAAGGGGAGGTGTCTGGTGCAGGAAGACACTGGAGTGCACTGCTTCACTGACTTAAGTCTCTGCCTGGGGACATGGCATTGCACAATCACCAACCTGCATAGCACAACCCTGACCCCCAACTTCTCCCCTCACTGACCTCCTGTCAGTCTGCATAGGGGCTTCTGTAGAGATACAAAGGGTATTGCAACAGGAGGGATACATCTCATCAGAGGACCTTCAGCCATCCCACTGTCCCTTTGCAACACCGTGCCTTCAGGCTATCTGTCAGCCAGGGTAAGAATCCAGTAAACAAGAGCACAAATCGAAAAACAATGTTGTGACCTATTTAATGGGAAAAAGACTATGTGGACCCAAGCTACTGGCAAAACTTGTTTCATTGCTGTAGCTGCTAGCCAAGTAAGTCATGCGTGGACACATGCATTTGAAGTCACCATGCTAGCAGGGCTCCTGCTTCTCACATTTAAACCTCTCTGGAAATGTGTGGTTGGACGCACATGCTACTTCTGCTACAGCAAAAAGAGTCTGAGAGTTGTGTCATCTTTCAAAGGGAAAGCATAATGCCTTTCTTGGTCAAGCACTGAGTGCCATGTCCATCCATGTTTGTGGTGTGTGAATTTAACCCATTCTGACCAGACTCCATAATGAAGAAGGCTCTCAGAGAATGTCCTCCACACCATTTTCTGCCTCATGTTTTCAGTTACCTCCTCCATGTAGATAGATCGCTGGACAACAATTTGAGAAGAAGGAAAGCAAAAGTTTTCAGGTATGTTTAGAGCAGGTATGTTTAGTCGAAAGGAGAGGGGGATGTGGAAAAAAACAAAGACATCTATTCCAGTCTGAGGAAACTCAGAAGAAATCAAGTTATTCCAGTCACAAAAGAAAACTCTACAGAGGCTGTAGGACAAGCAAGCATACAAAGCAAATTTTTCACTGTCTTCAGAACTGGGGTGGCTGGACGTTCCTGCCAAGTGTTTTAGAATATGGCACCTACAGAAATGGGAAAGTGTTCTATTTTTTAAATATGTATTAAATAATGGATTCCTCATGCAATATGTTGACCTTTAATGATGATTCTTTCAGAATCTATCAGACTACAGTAAAGACACAGAGGTAGCTGTGGGATCTTCTGCAAGCAAATGAGAAAAACAGCTTGTGGAGACAGGTGGCCAACATGGATGGCAGAAAAAGTAGTGGAAGGGCAGAACCAATGAATTTTCATTATTGTTGGAGCTCTGTTTTGTCTCCTGTTCATTCTTTGCTCTCCATATCTCTTCCCATCCCCACCGAGCAAAAGAGAGCTGCACCAGTCTGGAGCTGTAGGTGCTCAAATGGGGGAACACTGCAGTGCAGATGCCAAGCACATTTTGTGGCAGCTCTGGTCTCCCTGGCTTTTCTCCAGCTCTGGTTTGGTTTTCTTCTCTCCTATCAAACTGCTGCCTTCCAGGCAAGTTGGAGACTTCTCCCTTTCACACCTGACTTGCAATGGCCAATGTCCTCAAAAGATATAGGAGGAAAACAGACACATGGATGATGTGATGCCCTAGGTGTCATATTCTTCAGGGCAGAAAAACAAAGAGAAGATACTGATAGTCTGACTAAGGTGATGCCTTAAGCCCCTAATGCTTTTTTATTTTTCTATTTTTCTACCTTATAAGTTTTATAGGTAATAGAAATAGACTTTAGAAACCCTTTCTCCCTCCTCCCTGTAGCACCCCTCAGTTTATACATTCCCTAATCCTCTCACCCTATCCCCATATCTAGTAGAAAATGTTTAGTCTTTTAGTCAAGGCAGGCCTGTCTTGTTTGGAGAACGCTTGTATCTTGGCCTAAACCGCAGGACAGAGTCAAGGAACTGGGTCACCCTGCTCTCTGTACGCTGAAGATGACGAAGATGATGAAGAGGGGGTCCCAAAAAGCACCCCAGACCCAATTCCGAGAGGCGGGCCAGGGGGTGGACCAGGCCAAAAGTTAGAGGATGGACACACTTGGGATTGGGCAGATATTGCTATAAATGTAACATCTTGGGCACAGCCCGGCGCGCGCCGTGTAACATCTCTTGCCTTGGCATAATTAAACCCTTTCTTATCTCACCCCAGCTAAACGGCTCCTAGATTTTTTCGTAGCACCAGCTGAGCAGGCATCAAAGGAGTGGGGCAGGGCAAGTGTAAATCTCACCATTTATTTTGCATTGCCTACCTAGCAAAACTCTTACTCCCACACTTTCAGCTCAGCGTATGAAAGGATGCACAATAATATTGTGTGTGCTTCACTATGATTCATGTGAAATTTGAGTATTTTCCAATTTCCATAACAGGAATACAGAAAAAACTAGTTCTGCTGAATTTCTGCTTGCACTCCCTGTTTATTAAAGTCCCTGCTTTGTGGCACACTCAGCAATTTAGTGAGAAAACACTGGGGTTAACTTCAAAAATCTGTTTGAGAAATGTGAGGTAACCCTGGTGGTTCCCAGAACCAGCGGGAGGGAGGAACAAAGTGGAAACACAGAGGAGAACAAAAGGCAACAGGCACATGAATTATGCAGATACACAACTGCAAGTACATAACTGAAGGGAAGGATAAGGTTGTCCAGCGACTTGAGGATAAAACTGTTCCTGTATGATATATCTCACCTGCTTAGCATTCATAGAGCCACAGTACGACTATCTGCAGTCTTATCAG